TTAAATTTCTCAGTTGTCACCTGACATCAGTAAATATTTATAACAAACTAACTAAATAAGCTGCATTAACTGAGCACACATATTTTATTTCTGACAAATTACAGATCAGGAGCTGTCTTTAATTCAAGGGCCTAATTGGTATGTTTAAGTGTATATTAGTATGTGTGTTTATTTGTTGGTTTAGCTTCTTTTAATGAAAATTTACAGTATTGAGAAAAAACACAGCTCTCTATGAAGAGCTATGTATTTAATATATGTGCTTTTCAGTAATACGAGATTGGGCACATCTTTTAATCAGTAAAATGAACTAATATGGGATAATTTAGAACAGTATCTAAATGGAGGAGAAAACAAGATTGTTCAAATTTACATAATATTTGAGAGAACCGTCCCCCATACTAAGGACATCTTTGTTTAGATAGATTTAATGTTTCTCACTATACTTTTTAAAGTATAATCAAATTCATAAATTTTATACCCCAAATACTCTTTGTAAAGGCCCACATTTTTCTGCCTTTGTCTTGCAAATATTCATCTACACTGAATGTTCTTTTAAAAATTATATATTATATATTTTTATTTGTAGATCAAAGTGCTGAATAAACAATTATCTCTCTAATACACCAATGACATCCTTAAATATAGCTCACTACATTAAAAATCATTCTAGTTCAATGAGAATATCAGCTATCAAACTGAATATCAGTAATAGTTATATTCAGATGAGGGGATCAGAATGTTAACTTTCAAATGGATTACTAGACTATCAAACTCTTCTCCATCATCCTGGAGACACGGGCACATAATACACTTCTTCTCTGAAAAGTGCAGAAAACAAAGTATAGTCATGGTAGGAATTTAAAATGATACATTAAGGAAATATTGATGTCGACCCAAATGTTGCTCTCTTTTTTAAACTTTCTTGAAGACCCAGAAGAACCAATATTTTATGACTCCCAGCTCAGATTGGACCCCCAAGTCTATTAAAATAGTTAAAATGGCAAGTAAAGGGGTAGGCAAGTTGGAGATATGTTTTATTTAATAGTCAACTTCTACATAACATTTGGAACACTGATACCTTGTTGGCGGCTGGGATCTTCATAACGAGGTAAGTATGAGCGCACTGATACCAGGAAGTGTTCCAGCCAGTCTGAAACTATGAGATGAGCAGCTCAGGACAGCTAGAATAAGCCCTCACTCTCTGTGTAAGACTTACACAACGCAGACATTCTTATCTCAGGATTCCTTCTCTGCTACCTGATGCACTTCTTGACTATTTTGTCTTATCATTAATTTTATAGCTTTATGAAATATAAATTAATTTTAGTATCAGATTAGGAAAAACGGAAATGAAAATACGGAGTCACATATAGTGCATAAGAAGATCAAATAAGGATAGTTTTAGGTAGTTTTTGCCATTGCTTTCTTTCTTGAGTGAAGAGTTGATTGCATTCATAATTGATTCATGTGTTTCCATTTCACCACTGAAACATTACCAGGTCATCAACGATTCTGCCTTGGGTCAGAAAGCTTCTCCTGCTGTCACTCTTATCTAATCTTATAATGAAAAAATAAATGGCATGTTTTTGGATAAAAGCTGGCTTTCTGACTGCATTGGACGGTTGGCAGGAGCTAGAAATAAAACAAGCTATCCAACAACCACATTACTAAGAAGGCAGGCTCCTTTTACAAGATTTATTCCTAATTCTTTTGGGGTTAGAGAGCAAAATGTGATAAGAACGAGGATTGTTTGATACCACTTACACTCTGCTCGCCTCTCTCTAGAGCTCTGTCTTTATCTCATGAATTCCCTGAGACCCAGCAATCACATTTATGTGGATGGTTCTGGCCCAGCTCCTGCCCTGCCCTCCAGACCAGCACTTCTGCCTCACACTTGACACCTCCACCTGGATGTTCTGCCAACAATGCTGGCTTCAAAGTGTGTGCACCTCTGCCCTCTCCCTGCCTCCCTTTCCCTTGCCTTAATAAATCTCCCTTCTCACTTTTCTATTTCCTGTTGGCCACCATTATCTGTCACCCATCACTGAAGTCATGTATGGGTTCTTCTTTCATTGCCTCCCACCTAGACTCTCTATCATCCTCCCTTCCAAGTGAAGCTCCTGTTTTTGTGTGTACAGTTGTCAAAGTCTCCAGACTCTCCTTGTAGCAATCAGTTCTACCTTCTGCTTTAAGATGTGTCTACCCAGAGCACAGCTGTCATGAGCTACCATTGCCCCCACATGGTGCATTTGTACAAATCAGGAAAGGCATCCCATCTACAAGACACTTGACTTCCGTCTGTCAAGAAACTTCTCATTATATAACACACTTATAACGACTAAAATATGGTCCCATGAAATACAGAAATCAACAGGGTCACCAGGTAAATGACACTCTCTAAGATTTTGCAGTGCACAATCTGCACACAACACTCAAGGCTGCCCTGTGATCCTGTCATCCCTTAACTCCATACATTAAATGACTCCTTATCACCTGTGAAAATATGTGCAGACCTGTTAGCCTTGTGAGGAGACGCACCACACTTGACTTCAGCCTGCATCTCCAGTAGCAGCGCCTATGCCTCACCTCCTCATATGCGGTTGCTCCACTCCTCTGGTATACTTTCTCAGGACTCACACTTGCCTGTCATCACACTTTTAATCATCTATCCGCCTGGTACATTCTTCCTCCTTTTTTTTAACCTGTAAATATTTCACCCATTTTTCAAATGTCATTTCTCCTAGGAAGCCTTACCTTTTCTCCACCCCAAATAGGAGGTGAGCAGTTTCTCCTTTGAATCCACTGTACTTTGTTTATACCTCAGTTACAATATGCGTAATATATTGCCTTTTATTATAGTTCCTGGCGCATTTGACTGATGTGTGCCTGATGGCAAACTCTTTAAAGATTGTGTCTCATTTTATGATTTCTTCAGCACCAAGTTTAAGATTTTATGCAGAATAACTTTTTAATTCACCTAGTTGAACTAAATCAGTAGGTCTCACTCCTAATAAGATGATTGATTATAAGCATTCCTATTCCTTGGGAATCGTATCAAAAAGAAAATTTTTATTTTCTATTCAATTGTCAAAAAAATGGAATTATAATTATGTTTCTGGTCTTTATATGTGCACTGTATTCCATTTGCTTTACTTCTACAACAACTAGGTAACCTTTCTGGTCTTAGATACATAACCCTTAAGATACATGTTCACTGTTGTATTTTGCTTAACCAAGCAGGATTGAATATGATTCTTTCTTTTCTTTGTTTTGTAAAGTTAGTCTATCCTTGATTTTATAGGTCTTCATTTTCCAACATCTTTACTGTATGAATAAGAAAAATCTTACAAGGAGGGTGAGAGTGATTTCTCTTTTTTCAACTGCTAGTTTTGAGAGCAGCTCACAAGTAATAATATGACAAGAAGTATTTTTGGTCTTCCACCTGCTGAGACTACCATGCCACTGTGGGTTTTAAAGAGATCAAAATCTCAACTGAGTTAAGAACTTTTAACTCTTTTTATCACTTTGCTGTTAAAACTATACTTAGTGGTAAGAAAAATAATAATTATTTTATTAGATTTGGATTAATTGATAAATATGTGATAAGGGCATGGCTTTTAAAGATTACAAATGTTTTATGGGACCCATAGATTCCTAGACCTGTGTCAAAAACTAGACCATGGATGGCAATTAAAGACGGTAATGATCAATGACACAAGGATATAAATGCAAATGAAGTTGGCAATATTTATATTTTAAAACCACCTTAAAGCCCCTGTTACGTCATACTTCCTCTAATGAGGGAGCTTAACAAATAAACACTGACCTTTGTATTCAATTGCCCTCTGAAATGAAAGCAAAGGAAAAGTTTGCTATTCCTCATAAACTAACTTTCTACCTTTTTATCAAATTCAGAATATAGTTTTCCTTTCTGTTTTGGCTTCCAGGGAAATCAGAGTTAACTGAGATTGAACTCTTATTTTTCAGGCCTGAAAATACATGTAATCCAGATGTTGAGGAACTAACTCATATCATAGTAATTTTAAACCATAGGGATTTAAAGGTCACTTGGTCTAACATTCCCACTCAAATCTGAAATCCCTCTACAGCTTCTCTGACACGTGGCCATTTTAGCTGCACTTGAATGATTCTAGTATATACAGCTCATGATTTCATGAAGGAGTTCTTCCCCCAGGGTTAGTTCTAAAATTCAGAAAGCTTACAACTTACTGAAATTTACCTTTTTCTTTAACTTCCCATTAGTTCCGCCCTCCAGAGCTATACTTGATTTAAAAAATAAAAAAATAAAAAAATAATCCCCCTTCACATGACTTTCCTCTTTGAATATTTATTTTAAACTACCTTGCCTTTCCTTAGATTTCAATCTGAGCTCTGCTACTTGCTAGCTGTGAGATCCTGGGAAACTTATTCAACGTCTTCAAGCCTCAGTGTTTCCCTCTGTAACATGGAGATAATAATAGGATCCACGTCATAGGGTTGTCTTAAGGATTTTATGAGAAAAAACCTGTAAAAGTGCTTAACACATTGTCACTACCCCCGCGACTATCTTAAAGATCTGTTTTCCTCAAGTATGTTCTGTTAGTGGCTTATATGGGAAGCCCTGTTTCTCTCAGTTCATCTGCATTCCTCCATTTTTGTTATTATTCAAATTGCTCTTTCACAATACTTTTTCCACCTCCATGGCAAATAATTAGAATGTGACAGTGATGCTGCCAGATCTCCACAGAGCTAGTGAGCCCTGCTAAACTCACTCAAGTCCCACTTGTCTCCCTGTTGAGTTCTACCTTCTCTGCAGGCCAGAGCTCAGCACAGTGTCAAAGAAAACCATGTTGGTGATTGCCTACTTCTCTCTTGGAATCTCCCGTTCCTTCACTGTAACCTTTGATCCCCATGTAGAGCTGTAAAATCTGGGCTGCCATGTATACCCTTTCTCATTTGGCTTTTCCCAGGTCTCACCAAATATAAATAAATAAACTTACCTGCTCTGTGTTCTTTTTCATCAGTGCCCTCATCTGACCTGGTATTGGTCATCTAGCCTTGCAAACCAATTGTGCTGTTCAGCTAATAGAAACGCATGGCTTAATTTTTCACCCTAGCAAGAAACAAACAAAAAAATGTTAATTTTAGGCCAACCTTAGAACCTTGACACATCCCTGAAACGACTTTAAGTCTTTGATAACACGTGATTTCTTTTTCCTTTTCTTTCCTTTGCTGTAGGTATCTTAACAAGTGCGTGTGTATGTGTGTGTGCATGCATGTGTGCACACAGAGCACTGCAATCTCCTACACCCATTAACAATAAGTGGTATCTTCTTTAGGAAGGCAACAGTGTCAATCTCAAGTAATTGGAAGAGGGTGGCATGAGATGGGCCTCTCAATGTGACATACCTTAATAAGGGTATCTTCCCCCAAAACACTTGCATTATCTATGGCTTAGTTCAACCCTAAATACAAATTTATTCATGATCCCATGGTATGAACATACTTATACATAAGAGATATTTCAGGCCGGGCGCGGTGGCTCAAGCCTGTAATCCCAGCACTTTGGGAGGACGAGACGGGCGGATCACGAGGTCAGGAGATCAAGACCATCCTGGCTAACACGGTGAAACCCCGTCTCTACTAAAAAATACAAAAATCTAGCCGGGCGAGGCGGCGGGCGCCTGTAGCCCCAGCTACTCGGGAGTCTGAGGCGGGAGAATGGCGTAAACCTGGGAGGCGGAGCTTGCAGTGAGCTGAGATCCGGCCACTGCACTCCAGCCTGGGCGACAGAGCGAGACTCCGCCTCAAAAAAAAAAAAGAGATATTTCACAAATGCTGTTTCAGGGGGATGAATATTTACTATCAGCATTTGACTTTTTTAGAAAATTAAGAAATTAACATAAAAAGATAAAGAGAAGATTTTCAAATGCCTTAGGGCTAGATTCTCTTTCCACAGTATTTCCTTAATGCTCTCTTAATGTCAGATTTCAAAATGAATCATCCAAGAAAACTAAAAAGACCCTGTAATAGATTTTTCAATCAAAGTCAACAGAAGCACAGCTTTCCTGAATATTTCATGTATCCCCCAAAACAGAAAATGACTGCAATTTCTCTAAAAGTTAGGCTATTCTCTGAACACATCCCCTCAATCTTTCCCATTTAGAAGTTGTCCACAATAAATATGAGTTCACTCTTTGAGTATGAACTTATAGTTAACATGTTCAAATTTATTCTGCTCACGCTGGTTGCTGGCTTTTCTTAGAAACGTCTTCTATTGACCTGTTTTCTACTTTCAGAGATGTGGCAAATTTCAGAAAGCCTATATTATAAAAATTTAAATGGAATAAAATGAAAAAATAAATCAGTGACTCAAAGGGTTGTTTCAGCTATTAAACCAGACACTTTAGGTCTTCTGTGCCATTCACCATAAAGTCACCATTTAAGTTGATCAAGTTGATTAAGAAGTTGATAATGGCTAAACCATCAGTAAAGTCCATCTTATATTTTCACAAACATCCAAATTTTTCACTTATAAAACAAAAAATAACAGATTATTTCTCTACAAAAAGAGTTACAGAAACAACACAGACATATCATGAACAAAAGACATTAATGAGATTTCTTTTGTAGAAATTGGCAGCTGGGAGGGAGAAGTGGATAGGAAGGCATGAGCCAATAATAATACTGAACTGTGGTCAACCAGTTAACTAGTTACCTGGGCTTGCAATCTGATATCCTAGGTTGCAAGAATCTTTCTTAAAGTACCCTCTAATCTACACACCCTAAAATGTGCCATCATTTTGATGACTATAACAGAGTTCTCCTAAGATATATATTGTCTTGCTCTCTGGAAGCCTCTCTCTACCTCAAGATTTCCATTCTTTTCCTCTTTGAGACCCATATCATGAGGCTCTGAACAGTTATGCTCCATTCTCAGGGTCATCCCCAAGCTAGCAAGACCTTATCTCTGACAAGAGTTCACATATTGGTAGTGACTTGCACTGCAGCTATTTTTTTTTTTTTAAATCCTTGACAGGTAATGTATTGGAAATATCTTTGGACTGAAAGTCAGCTGTCTTGAGAGTCATATCCACTACACCACTTATTCACAGTTTGATTTTGGGCAAATCACTGAATTTTTGGGCAAATCTTCATAAGTGTTTAATGAGAATAACACTTTCCACAAAATCCAATAAGTAATTATTTAGGGGCTGTTAAAACTAGACATGATCTTGGAGGCTGCACGCCTCTAAACGAGACCTTGTCTCTGCCCTTGAGAGGTTCAGGGTTTAGAAGGAGAGACAGGTATTTGAATTGGCAAGGAGAATACAGAACAATAAGTGCCAAGCAGGGGGAGGCCCCAGTGATCTTCCTGGAAAAATGAACATTTCTCAGTATTACTGATAAAGGATATTCCTGGCACTGAAGCTTGTAGCAAAACAGATACAAAAATACGTCAGTTAACATAAAGTCAAAATGTACGCAAGGCCAAAAAGTAAGATGAAAATGGTTTGATTATGGCTGCTAGAAGGGTATCCTGTAGATACAAGGCTGCATTTGAATCAGTAAAAATGTATTCAAAATTGTGTGAGTGTGTGAATGTTCAATTTTGGAGATAGGGTCTTTAACTTTCATAAGATTATTTTAAAAATAATTGAATGACCCCAAAATGCTAGGAATCAATGTTTTCTAAGGTAGATACACTTTCAGGGAATTATAAGTGAAATGCTTGGGTGAAAGTGTATGTGTGTGTGTGTATGCATACATAAATATATGCACATGTCATCTTCTGCCACCAATTTACATGATCCAAAAATTGTTCATGTTTCTATACTTACTATTATAAGAGGTCAAGTATGGTAAATGTCTGTACTCTATGGAGTTGCTGAAAGTGTTTTTTGAGATTTCCAAGTTGACTAATGTGTAACTCCCTTTCAAAACACACACAAAAATATTGGCTTGTATAATCACTATCTCAATGAGGAAGAGAAGTGAAATCTTATAAATTACTTACTTAAATATAAGATGGCTATATTGGAGATGTCTAACAACCTTTTATCTTAAAAGGAAATGTGCAAAGAAAAAATAGTGGTTTTTTTTTTTCTATTACTGATCTAATGTTGTTCTTAAGCCACACACTGCTGGATATCAAGAGGAAAAAAATGTTAAGTTTTCCAAGTAAAAGTGTTAAGTTTCTTCTGGTCTAAGGAGTAGTTATACAAGGTTTGCATTTTTTAGAGAGAAGAGTGAAATATATAGAAATTAAAGTAGTATGATACCCGGATTTGCTTTAAAATATTTTTGCGAGAATAGGAAGGTGCGGGGGTGGGGGAGGGGAGGGGAGAGCAGAACACGGGAGGGCATAGGAGAAAAAGAAATAGAAACCAAAAAAAAGCTTTTTCATAACGAGTTTGCAGCCAGAACATGAGTGTTGTGAAAATTACCACTAAATCAAAGCCAAAACGAGAAAGAAATGACTCATATCAGCATCATCATTAATAGACATGTAGATTAGGGTAAGTCCACCACTACTGGCCATCTGACCTACAAGTGTGGGGTGATCAACAAAAGAACCATTGAAAAGTTTGAGAAGGAGGCTGCTGAGATGGGAGACGGCTCCTTCAAGTATCTCAGATTTTAAACGAGTGAAACAAAGAATTATTGGTGTTAACAAAATGGATTCCACTGAGCCACCCTACAGCCATAAGAGATAAGAGGGAATCATTAAGGAAGTCAGCATGTACATTACAAAAAGTGGCTACAACCCTGACACAGTAGCATGTGTGCCAATTTCTAGTTGGAATGGTGAGAACGTGCTGGAGCCAAGTGCTAATATGCTTTGGTTCAGGGACGAAAAGTCACCTATAAAGATGACAATGCCAGCGGAACCATGCTGCTTTCTTGAAACTCTGCAATACATCCTACCAACAATTCATCCAACTGACAAGACCTTGAGTCTGCCTCTCCAGGATGTCTACAGAATTGGTGGTATTGGAACTCTTTCTGCAGCCTGAGTGGAGACTGGGATTCCCAAACCCAGCACAGTGCTCACCTTTGCTCCAGTCGACGTTACAACTGAAGTAAAGTCTGTTGAAATGCACCATGAAGCTTCGAGTGAAGCTCTTCCTGGGGACAATGTGGGCCTCAATGCCAAGAACATATCTGTCAAAAATGTCTGTCATGGCAATGTTGCTGGTGACAGGAAAAATGACCCATCGGTGGGAGCAACTACTTTCACTGCTCTGGTGATTATCCTCCACTATCCAGGCCAAATCAGTGCTGGCTATGCCGCTATTCTGGATTGTCAAACAGTTCACATTGCTTGCGATTTTGCCGAGTTAAGGGGAAAGATTGATCACTATTCTTGTAAGAAGCTGGAAGATGGTCCTACATTCTTGAAATTGGGTGAAGCTGTTGTCACTGAAATTGTTTCTGGCAAACCCAGGTGGGTTGAGAGATTCTCTGACTGTTCTTCTTTGGGTCATTTTGCAGTTTGTCATATGAAACAGATAATTGCTGTGGGTGTCATCAAAGCAGCAGACAAGGGGGCTGCTGGAGGAAGCTAGATCACCAAGTCTGCCCAGAAAGCTCAGAAGGCTAAACGCATATTATCCCTACTACCTGACACCTCAGTCTTAATCAATGGTGGAAGAACAGTCTCAGAACTATTTCTTTCAACTAGCCATTTAACTTTAATAATAAAAGACCAGTTAATGATAACATTGCCTTGTAAAATCTTCAGAAGGAAAGGAGAATGTTTTGCGAACCATTTTGGTTTCTTTTTCATGAGGCAGTTTTAAGTTATTAGTTTTCAAAATCAGTACATTTTAACAGAAAAAAACAAAAATCTGTCACAGAATTTTGACACCCATTAAGGCAAAGTTTAATGCGGAATAAAAGAAAGAGAAAAAGAAAGATAGGTTATGTGTCCACGGCAACAAATTGATGATTCTAGAATCAGAATATATGGCAGTTCATTACACTATTTTCTTTAATGTTTTGATGTTTGAAACCTTTATTAAATAATTTTTTTCTTTAAAAGAGTCTGAGCAGAAAATATTTAAAGTAAATGCTCAGTCTTTCAGTTATTTCCTCCTCTGGCATCTGGGC